TATATATATATGAATTCCCATCTAAAACTTGAAGGAGAAATTTCTGCTGGTATCATGTGCTTTCAGGTGTAAATTTTTAAGCTACTGCTTGTTTGTACTGTTGAACTCAGGACCTTGTGCTTGCCAGGCAGGCGCTTACGCCTCTGAGCTATATCCCCAGCCCTACAGCTCTTGAATTGGGAGTATGTATATTGTATTGAGTGAATCTTAGTTATGTGTATTTGGAAGAAAACTGATAGGTAATCTTTAAGTGCATGATAAAAATGATTTAAATGATCCTAGGGAAAAGAGTTCATATCCATTTTATTTTGGTTTTATTATTAGAATATGTAAAGCCAGAGATGGAAATAGTCATTATTCCAGAGAAGTAATAAGAAACAGAAACTGATGATTGAAAGAGATAATGATTTAGAGTCAAACTCCAGTTTACATCAAGTCATGCCCTAGTTCTTGTCCTATTCACTAGAACCTCTGTCTCTCTGTTTCTGTCTATAACTCTCTATCTCTGTCTCTCTTTCTCTCATAATTAGATTTCTATCACTTATAATGACAATCCTGAGCAGCATCTGTAGATTGCTCCAGCATCCTCAGCCACTAACCAGATACCTGTCTCATCCAAGACTGAGTTGTTGTTATTATTCTCTAAATCCAGGGGATCTTAAAAGATGGTCTTGTTTGTTTTATTTGTTTTGGTTCTAGTTTGATCCAGCCTAAAGGAAGAGGAAAGAACATTTTAAAAATTCTTATAATTGCGACTTTATAGGGAATTTGGTTATGTAGGACAAATAGTTACTACTTTCTAGGACCAAGTGACAAAGTAGAGATCCTGTCTGCTACTCAGTTCTCTAGCTGGTTGTAGCAGTTGTAATTTGTGACTTCCTTCTTCCTATAGTATTTCAAATCTTCTGTGTCTAACATTTATCAGTTTGCTAAAGGTCTTTGCCTTCATGAAAATTCTCCATTTTCAAAAATTTTAAGTCCTTGACTATTAATCTAAAGTTAGGCAGAAATATAGGAATGACCATAGTTTTTACCCTTAGGAGCTCTCTGACACTCCCCATACTTCCTTAGACATTTATTTTGTATCAATAAGGCATTTTATCCTAGATAACAAGCATAATTCATGATAGCTAATGCTTGATTTCCCATTTATCCTGTCTGCCTACAGGCATGAGAAATCTAAACTGACTAGGCAACTAGCTCTGCTTCCCAGTCAAGAGCACAAATACTGTGTTTTTCTTATATTCTTCAATATTATGTAAACTACACAATAATGAATATAGCTCAAACTGCAACTACCAAGAGAGGCTTCCTCTTCATAGTCTTTTTGAGTTGTATTCAAGGATAGCAATCATAACATAACAATCTAATTTAAAGAGCCTTCTATAAAGACTTTTTAACATTAAAATGATACATCCAACTTTAAAAATATTTTTAAGCTAGATAATCCCCAACTCATGACTAGTTACTGAGACCTGAATGTAATAGCTGTTACTTGCTGAAGAAAATGTGACTCTGTATTTATGTTAGTTTATGTTTCCTGTGAAAGAACTTAGAAGATAAGGACTTCTGTATTTTCCATTTTTTCAGTCAAGTGGTCATAGGTGTCTGTCTTGAAGACATACAAATTTTTATGTTGAAAACTTGGGAAAATAAAAAGATCCAGATTGTATTACAAAGAAATTAACAGACGCCATGTAAATGTTTTCACTCAGTAGAGTGAAAGCAAATTCTGTAGTGTATATACTTTGGATATCATAGTCTTCGAGGTGAAGACTAAATTAGGAATAATTACACAGTTTGGACAAGTACCAAGTGTGTAATACTTTTAATATATATTATAAATATAGTTCCAAACATTCCTATGTTTTATATAAATCTATAAGAATGCTGTATGAAGATATAGGAGTTGAATTGAAATAGAGTTCATTGTTCACCAATAATTACGTGTCATTTGAAATACAGTGATGAATTCTTACTTTAACATTGATTCTTACAGTTATATGTGAGACTTTTCTGAGAGATATGTAAACCAAAATGTTATATATGAAAAATGCTATTAAATAATACACTTATTTATTAATTTTCATCTCCATTGTGCTCAGAGTATTATAGGACATATACTGACTAAAACAAGAAATAACTTTAGGTCTTCAAGTATATAATCTTCAAATTTCTTTTTAGGTTTTCTTTAGGAACTGTCTATATAACCCTGAGTGGAAGCATTTGATGTGTTACCACTTTCATTGTTCTGAACTGTTTATATCTCAGCAGGAATAATGGCATGAATAATTTGACTGCTGAAATGTGAAATCAGAGTGAACACTTGTCAAGGTTTTTTCAGCAAAATTAAATGTTGCTAATTTAAAGTGAGTCTGAGTAATACTTTTTTGCATATTATATATTCCATGATTTAAATTTAGATCATTTGATATACATTTTTACAATTGGCTCATTTCTGGATCATTAAACCCCATTATCAAATAATATTTATTAAGCTTCTGCTTACGGATTCAGAATGACTTCTATAAAATAGCAGTTAAGAAAGGAGCATATATCTTTTCCTTTAAAAAATAATACATAGTCCTTCTGCCAAAAACTTTCATATGTATGATGAGCACAAGTATACTATTTCTATATTATTCACAATCATTTGACTCTTTTCTATCAGCCAGTTCTAATTCTAAAACTCTATATGAAATTTTTAAATTACCTTTGAATCATTAACAAACACACTGAGAAACAAATCTATTGCCCACTAAAATTTTATAATACATCTTAGGTCAACTGCTTTTAGATTTCTTTAGTGTAAAGAAGATGTAGAAATGAAAGTTAGAAATTATCATTTAAATACAAGAAATGTATGCTAATATTACAGAAGAATTGATTGTTGAAAAGGAGGGGAATGAGGTAGAAACTAGAAGAAAAAAATAACAAGAATAGCCAGAGAGATTACATAGGCATAAACTGCTATTCAGAATACCAATAAGAGTTTAGTTATCAAAAAGTACACTACTGTAGTTAATACTTTTGTTGCTAAGTGTGTTTATTCCCCATACTGTATAATATTTCTTTTTCACCTTATTGGTGAGGTCACCATATGGTATACCAACAAAATAAATTTTGTGACACTAATTCAGTTTTGTTCATTTTGGACTGTGAAATGTGATATCAATGATTAAGACTAATAACTATATGTATATATGCTACATCTCGTATCTAGTAATATTTATTCTATTCTCTATTAAGAGGAAACAAAATTTAAATATATATTTTCCTAATGAATTCAGAATACTAAAAGTTAATTATTTACAGATTCCTTTTCTAGTCTCTTAGAGAAAACTAGGGAATATTTCTCAAATTGATTATTTGAATACTTAATGTACTCATGATAAATTTATAATGAGCTATCACTCTTTAATTACGAAGACAAAGTTAACTTTATCTGTCAGTCAGATGTTACATATCCTCATTTTTTAATATATTTTCAAGTGCTCCAACAGGCTTATTTTTTTCATTATAAACTTATCCTCTAAAATAAGTTGTAATCTGTTTTCTGTTTTTCTTTTTGACATTCACTGCCTGTCACATCAAAGATGTCTGTCAGAATCTTCTTCCTGAAAAAGGAAAAGAGTAGAAATTGACCTTTGGGTGATGAGTTTATGATGATCACATGAGGAAACTGCTTTGCAGCTTTGTGTACCTGTTTTACTCTATTTAAACATTCTTTGGCATTTCTGATGAGTGTTGAACTTGAATTGTGTATCAGCACAACTCATTGTCTGAAACTATTTCTTCTTAGGTAAACAGGATTATAAAAAAACCAAACCAATTTTGCGGGCAACCAAATTAAAAGCAGAAGCTAAGAAAACAGCAGTAGGCATAAAGGTAGGCCTCTACTTGATAAGTTTGTAATTTGATATGTTTATGTCATTTCATTTTCTAAAACTGGGTTGCATAAATGTTAAGTTTTAAATGCTTTATGACATTTCAAGATCTAAATAGAATGCTAGAGTTGAAGGTTTTGAAAAGAATTTGCTTAATGGAAAATATCCTTTCTCTGCTGAGATTTTGAGGGACCTCAAAATGAAATAGCATTACTTACGAAAGCCAGTTCTACCTAAAGACGTAATTTATTTTTCTAGCGCTACTGCATATATTGTTCAAACATTTCCGTGATGTATATGGCTTTGGTAAGAAATTGTTTCATTTTCAATGAATTTCACCTCTTAGTTGCTTAAGTTATAGTTATAATTACATACACTTAGATCATTAAGGTGTACAATTTTACTTAGTTTCAGTATTGCTGCTGCTCAAATTCTAATGGCATCCCCAAACTTGTCCTTTTAGGAAATCAGTGTTTCTCTACTTAAGAAAGATAAATACAACTGAGATTGACACCAACATATATTAATTCACTGTGCTTGTTCAGTAAACAAAATGATACATTATTACCCATAACATATTTTTGGCAAATATTTAAAATTTAAGTAAACTAAGTAGAAACAGTAATTGGTGGCCTTGTTATAAATCTGTAAAATAAAAATGACCAGTACATATAGTTTATTTAAATATTAAAATGTTAAAAGGAGATTTGTGTTTTTATCTGGCAGATGAAAAATCAATTTTTCTAAGTTATAGCTCACAGCAAATGCCAAGGTATTACTACCAAGCTGTAACAGCTGCTGGCTTGCCAGATGATATATTTGGTTGCCTTCCAGAACTTGCTATTATGATCACAAAACACTACCTTCTTTCTGCCTCCAATTGCTGATTTTGTTCAAGCACTGCCGAGTGACGTGGTGTGTTTTCAAAACACAGTCTCCTCAGTGAGTGTTGTGTGTCAATCGTCAATGACAAAAATTAAATAACCTTTTTGTTTGAAAGACAGATTGATCTTTTGAAGGCTTTTACTTAAGCTCATATGAAGTTTTGTTCATCTTTGAAAATATCTCAATGATACAACAAACCAATGCTTAGGTTTTCTTAAATCTTTCATCCAGTTACTTTCTTATTGTCTCTCATAATAACGACATTTTTTGTCATTGTCCTCTAAGCCAGTTTACCACTTCATTTTGTCTTGCAGAGTGTGGTGGGTTTTTTGTTTGTTTAATGAGCAGTTGTATGTTAGGATTTGAAGAAATACTCCAGTCATTCATTTACATAACATGCTTTGCACACAGCAATCTTTATTTGCCCCTCTATTTTTGTTATGGATGTAATTTGTATAAATAGCTGGGTTCCCAAGATGAAACAAAATTTTCCTTATAGTACAGTTATCTAATTCCTTTTTTAAAATGGAGAATTAACCTTTTATGACAGTTCTTTTCTTATAATTCCTTTACAATTTAAGCTTTATACAGAAAAGTTTCTTCTATCAGAACATAGCTCCTTTTTAATAAGATAGCACATCATTTTGATTTGTAAGCTTGTGGGGGAAAAAGACCTTGACTTTAAATATTGTTTACTTTGCTTGAAAATTTATGTGAAGAGCCCATTAGGATGATATGAAACTTTTTAGAATCAGAACCGTGAGGTGTTTTACATTTCAAATCTGGCATACTAATTGGTTTGCCCTGTCAAACTTTGATTGCCTTGTCATTTTGGCATAGGACTTTAAATAACGAAGTTTCTTTCAGCAATTGCCATTTAATGCTTTTTAATTTCCCCAGTGAGTGATTTTATCCATATTGATAATGTCAGAGAAGCAACTAAGGACTAATGAACATCAAATATATTAGACTCTTATCTAGTTGATACAGAATGACCATAATATTGTACAACTTTATCACTTTACTTCTTGTTCTTTTGAATGAATCATAGTTATGCTCATCAAGTAATTTAAATGTACAGACACTGTGAACAGGTGCGTGGTATAGGAAAATAGCACTGAGGACCAATGCTGAACATATGATGAGGAAGTCTGGGATCACATCCCTTTGTGACCGTCACTGTTGCCATGTTATCCCTAATGTCTAAGGTGCCACATTTTTTAAATGGAGATTATTCCATTTATCTTGTGTTGTCAGGAAACAAAAATGATACATAAAAACAGTGAGATTCAAATTTATTACATAGAAGTCATTATAAATTGTTAACTGCTCAAGAAAACATTTGTTATAATTTGTAATGTATAAATCAGATTTCCCTCAAGTATTTGTCAATGACTTTCAGTTGCTTCAATTACTTTTGCATTTTTGTTCCTGTTTTGTATTAAAAAATGTTCTCAGATTTTTATAGGGATATTTTCATGGACATTAGTTTGGTAAAGTTTTAAAAGCATTGTATAATTTTAAAATGCTTTGCTTAGAGAGCATATCAATACTTTCCAATTCATTATGTATTTAAATATTATTATAAGTATTGCAATATAGTAGAATCTATGGAATGAAAAATAAGACATGATTGTCTCAGAAGAACTTATACAAGAAATAACTTTCAGTTTTAATTACCCTACTAAATCAGTAATACAATTGAAAAACTACAAGTTAGAGAAATGAACAATTTATATAATAGGATTCCCAAAGTCTTCCAGTGCTTTTTAAAATGTGTATTTAGTAATAGAAGATGTTTCAGGGTAAAAGTAAGCAATTCCACTGTTAGATATGAATAGATTATAATAAATACAAAATTAATTTCTACTTGAGAAGTTGTGTTATTTCTTGTATCTTATAAATATGTCATAATTTATGAGATACTAATGTAATCAGTGTCACCTAAGAAATATTTACATAGCTAAATTTTCTCTCTAGTTGCTGTTAAATTAGAATCTTTTGTAAGAAGTGCTACATGACTCAACTGTTGAAGAACACCAATACTGGTATTTCCCCATATTCAAAAGGAATAGGGTATAGACTTGATAAGTTATTTTTAAAAGGTCCATTTGAAAGCATAACAAAAGAAATAAGTATCTAAAATTGAGTTTTCTTACATAAGTTAAGAATTCAGTGTTAATCAAATCCTGCCAACAACCACTTGGTATATGTAGCTTAAAATGTTATGTTTGTTCTTTTGTGGTTATTTCTAACTTAATGCTAACATTGGCCCACAGGCAGGATTGTCATAAATGCCTACAGGTGTCTAACTCATGCTTAGTGTCCTCAGATCCTGAAAGAATTATTTTCAAAGTGTACCACTGTTTGAATACTCCAAGCATTCAGCCCCCACAATGCTTGTCTTCTCACCAAAATAGAGATGTCTATTTGTTACACCTCTCCATTTGGGGCTCACAGTTGTATATTATAAACTGACACAAGTGGGTTATGGACACTTGAAAATTGTGCTCTGTGAATATTTTCTTTTCTCCAGCCTTAAAATTATTTTTTCATGCTTCTGATATTCTGGAAACATACGCGAAACAAAATACAGATTTGCTTTAAGGACAAGAAACTGAAAAGCACCAATTAAAGTTGATCATCAATAAGACAAGCAGCATGGCCTCCAGTCAAGGATAAAAACTTTCTTTTTTGCACTAGGATTGGGTGAATGGTGACTGTTGTTGATCAGTTTTGTTGTCCACTATACAGAACAGATGGAGTTTGCAGTTGTGTGTCACTTGTTTATTACATCCTCTTAAAATTAGTAGCTGTGTAACCAGATGGGTCTGGGAGCACAGCTGTGGATATAAGAAAATAAATGAAACCTGTCTGATGCTGCCATGCCCTTTCGAGATACCAAAGTGTTCAGTTGTAACAAAGAAAAATTCACTTTCTTTTGACGTTATATTGATATATTAGATTTTAAAAATCAGATCTTACAAAATGGTTGATACTGAGCTTTTCAACCCCATAGCTCTTATTAACACTTATTTTGAAAGTTTAGTTAGCTATATAATTGAATTGCAGAGTTATAGAGTTTGTATAAAATATGTATGTGTCATTTCAATGTTTAGGTAAAAATTTGATGTTGAGCATGAACTAAGTTTATTTTAATGTTTTTAAAGTTTATTAAGTGGCATTTGTTGAATTATTTATTTTACAATCTTATGAAATGTAAAACATACTCATGTGATTGCAAATGAATTGCTTTCCATAAAGCAATGCCAGGTAAGTGATGTGATACACAAACGAAAACCAGAGTAAAACACTAGGTCCATTAGGGTGCTGAACTGGCACTTGGTGCTTTTCTTCTATTTATCAAAATACGTTAATATTGAGAAATTTTATGCATTTATACATATATATATATATCACAAATACATAGACTTTTGAGAGATAATATAATTATATCATAATCTGTGTGGTAAAAGTTTTAGTCATTTTTGTATAGTTGCTTAATATAATCAATATTTAATTACTGAATGAGATATCCAGTACCATCCTACACAGAGGTGATAAATTTTACTATATTATGTAGCCTGAGCTGAACACTCATTTTCTCTCCTCTATGTATAAGCGATAGATTCAGGATTTAAAGATTAAAGCTTGAACAAAGTCATATTAAATGAGGAGGTATACACTGACAGAACCTAAAACTGGTTATATATAATAACGTTTCTTCTCATTTGAAATGAAATGGTAAGTAATTTTACAAATCTGTATCCAGACACTATCCCTTTATAACAAATGTATGATTGAAGCAAGAAGTCCGATTGAGCATTCCCAAATACAAAACAGATAAACTGCGTGGATCCAAACTAACATTTTGGTATCCAAAGTGAAAGTATATTAAAGCAACAAATTTTAGTTTTACTATTAGGAATAAAGCCAAAATTAACTAGAATAAGAATGACAGACCCACTGATATACTTTCGATTGCAGTGGATATTGTCATTGGCAAAGGAAATTTATTTAATGGGAAAAACAAAACAAAAGGAATGGAATTATTTGTTTCAGATTATTCTTGCTGTCTATACTGTAGAACAATGTGGTTCTTTTACCTTATGATATTGATGATAATATCCTGTCTTCCTTCATCAATTTCAAGCCTATTTTTCTTTCTTTCCCAGGAAGTTGGCCTTGTGCTTGCAGCTATATTGGCCCTCCTGCTGGCTTTCTATGCTTTCTTTTATCTCAGACTGTCGGCCGATGCTGACCCTGATCTGGACCCAAATGAAGATTAGCTGGACAGCAATCATTACATGAATGAGTGCTCGTTTCATAAAAGCACCTTTTGGTACCATTACTTTCTGAAGTACTGAAACTACAACATGTTGAACGTCTTATTCTGGTACTTTCAGCTTCCAGAAATGTCTTTTTAAACAATCATATTAGGACATCAAGAAAAGAACAATCTAGTGGTGTTGTGTGATATATGCTATGAGATACTTTTGTAAATCTTCCTGCTTTGACAGGTACCCTATTTTGCATTTAGATAAGATGAATAACTGATCCTAAATTCTTCAGATTTCTTACCAAATTTATGGGCATAACAACTCCTTCGCATACAGATTACTAAATATGGTTTTGTTCTATATCTCTTTCAAATAAAAGTACGGAGCTCAGAAACTCGCGTTCAGAGCTAAGAAGGAACAAAATGTTTTATTTCACAAAGAATCCTCACTTTCTTTCCAGACATATTTTGTATCATTAGTGAGACTATCTGCACATACATCTATGGTAATCTTGTTCCTGCTTTGCCAACTGTTCAGTGCACATGTGCTTCATCAGAAATGGCACCTGGATGACAGAAGCTCAAAGAGTCACATATGTCTCTCACATAGAGCCCCTTTCCTCTTGGGCTGTCTGGACTGGTTTAAATAGAAAGTTCAGTTGATCTCGGTTTTAATTAACTTATTACTATATTAATATAAACTTGGAATTCTATTTTAATTATGTTGTTCTGGCTGCCTGCAGTATCAGTTTGCCCCTCTTGTTAGGGAGCTATGTAGCAATCTGTCATTTAATAGTGCGGTCTTTTTCGTACCACAGAAACAGCAGAAGTCTTACCTACTCACAATCATTTCCTCGAGTCATGCCCTAAATCTGAACAATACAAAATTGCTTTGCAAAAATAACATTTTGTCTCTTAAGAGTTAATCCATTAGAACACTTTAAAACTAGAAAAAATAAATACTTGAAGAAAATATATGTCTCTTATTACTTTCATATATAGTTTTCTGTTTATATAGTTTTCAATGTATTTTTCATTTACTAGAGCAGAATGACTAGGATATTTAATATTTTTATTGGTAATTAAATTTTACTAGATTTTTAGAACACATAGAACTTAGAAATTTGGAAAGTAACTTGCCAAAGAGAATGTTTAACAATTACATTAGATACCTATGCAGAGACAATGGCTAGTTTGAAATATATACACAAAGAAATGTTTTACAATGTATATATTGTATTTATGAAGAAAATTACAAAAGTAAGATTGCTTCCATGCTGACTAAAGGACAAAACATGGGTAAATACTCTAGAAGTTCATAGGGCTTTATAAGCACAATTTTTTGCAAAGGACATTCTTTGGTACTTTTGCAAAAACTTGAATTTGATAGTGTAGTCCAACATTGTAGGATTTTTTTATGCGACATATGTTATTTCATTAGTGTGAAAACAGCCAAAGATCCCAATTTCCTCACAGATTACTTGTGCCAAATGTCTGAGGGCAGAATTTAAGCAATGTTATTTATTGGACTCTTCCTCTTGAACTCACAAACTCAAGAGACAGACCAAGCGTTCGTACACCCCACTCACCATAGTGGACCCATCCAAGTGGCATTTTTAGGAAAGGTTGCAGCATTTTATGCCATGTGGTATGTCTGTTCGCAAAGTGGGAGGCAAGGGACTATCCAAGCTGGCATTTTGGGTATGATGGGCCTTTTGCTTTCCTGAGTGACATGCCACATGTCAAGAAATGCTGCTTTCTTCCACTCCTATCACATGTACGTGAACAATTTTCATTTAGTTATTTCCCTTCCATATGGTGTTAAAAACAGTCATATTAAATAAAGATTACTTCTGGTTTTGAGTGCTAATTTAGGATATACAATAATTGCTTATTAGGTGCCTATCCAAGTGAGCTATTAACAAGAGTTTACAGTGTATAAAATAGGTGACTATACTTTAGGAAATGTTCAAAAACTCATCATTCTGAGAAAAATTTCACCATTCTGGTCTATCATGAAGCTTTCTTTTATGGGAAAATGTTGTTTTGATAATAAACATGAATCTAAACATAGTATAATTATAGCAAATTTGATTACCTAGTTTTATTAATATCCTGAGCCTATATCTAGTCCATTTGTATAACTGATTGATTCCTAATGGCCTCAGAGAACCATAAATCCCAAAGGTTTAAAATTGATTTAAGTAAATAGGCAAAATGAAGCAATACAATATATGTTTATGTACTGTTTTCATGAAATTCAAATTTTGTGAACTCGTATTAACTTGGAAGCAGTCAATCCTGTGAGGCTAAATCCCTGATTAAAAGTCTGGTTTGAATCTTTGAAGACAGAAAGGTGATGTCTTTCTGCTGTTTCAGGGGACTATATTTTTGAATAGGGCATAGGTTTGGCATAGATCTGAGACTGGCACCAGCCAGATATTAGACATAGCTGTTTCCCCTACTGTAGGCAGAAGACAAAACCAGAAAAAATTATGATGTCTTTTCAAAATGTTGGAATCTACTTTTTAATGCACCTGAAAATAAATGTATAACTTAAGAGACATAAAATATAACCCGTGGGATACTGTGAGTGGAGTGTGAACATTTGCTGGTTCTGACTTTGCAGGCAAATCTGGACTAGCGTAAAGAATACATAAATTTGTTTGAAGGGAGAAATTATAAAAATTTGATTTCATCTAATATTTCTTTTGAGACCCATTTTAGTGCAAATACAAAGTTGTTTTAAGAGAACAAAAATAATTCAGGCTTCTCTTCAATTTTTCACAAGGACTGAAGAAATACCCTTACCCTAATCAATGATTATAAAATGCTGAGGATATATTCTTATTCATTTTTGTCATTCCTATAGTGTAGAAATCTGGACATAAATATAATACATGCCTGTTAAAATTAAATGTAATACATTTTAATTCTCTCAGAGTCTAGCAAAATTCTATTTAGTAGAAGAGCAAAGATTGCTTAAATTCAGTAAGTCAAACATAAGCACCAAAATATTGATCAACTCAGCATTTAGCAATTATGGCCATTGGTTGTTGTTTCAGCCTGCTTCTGTCGAAGATTAAAAAAATCGTGTTAAGTTTGTTATGAGCTAGAAATACTGGCTTTTCAAGAAAATCAAGTATGTATGTTTAGTTAAAGACATACTTAACAGCTAAGTTTGACTCCAAAAAACTAAAACTAAATTCTTATTATAACATTTGTATGAATAGTAAAGCACATATTTTTTTTTCAAGATTCTAAATTATACTCAATGATAAGACCATGAAGAGACTACTTCTTGAGAGAAGCTTTAGAAATCAATTTTTAGGAATGAAACATCCAATTCTAAGGCATTTCATCCAAAACATGCTCATTGACCATACACTACCTAAAATAACGTATCTTCTCTCCTTAACAACAATCAGACTTTACACTTACCTGTGACTCCTCTGGGGCGGTGCCTACACTCCTCCCTGAGCAGCGCTGCTTTCTTTATTAGACATGATCCAATGCAGCCTGGATAGAAGGAAGTGTCCTAGCTTGTTTTCCACTGACACCATATCTAGGATCAGTACAACCCTCGGTAAAATTTTCTTTTAAGAGCAGCAGATGAAATAAATACCTACAAAGTCATTCTGACCATTTTGTGCAGGGTAATAGAGGTAAATGTAGAGGGAACTGGGAGAGCCATGTAAAGAACTATACCAATGTGCAAATACGATCGTTAACTCATTTACAACAATTGAACTGCAGCCGTATACAGAACACTGCCTTCTCATTATACAATGTGTTTAATCCCTAGCAACGGATATGAGATCCTTATTTCACGAAAAAAAATAAGATACGTTACATGCCAGAAGATTTTTTGATGACAGTACCCCCTCCTATTCTTCATTTTTTAAAACAACAACCAAATTGGTGGGGAGGCAGCCAAAATTTGAGGTACCAGTGCTTCTCGAACAGATGTCGCACCATTATTTTTTAGCTCGTTTAGATGAATAAACATGTTAAACTGTGAAGTATTACATTTTAGATTTTTTCATTAAAAAAAGAGACAATCTGTTTACTGTCCTAATTGAGACAACAATCCTTGTGGTTGCCAGTTTTGGCAGTCATAACAATGAACTATAAATATTTGGACCAATCAAGTAAATGGTGACTATAAAGGCTATAGCATGTGTAAAGTTCTGTTTTCACGGGCACCCATCTTAGTATGGCGTTTTTTTTCTGACTTCTTCAAATACAATTGTTTGTGTGAAACTGAAGTTTCATGGTAAGCCTAAAAGAAATTGATTTCAATATCTAATTTCTTCCTAGTTTATCATCCTTTTTAGTGTTCAACTATCCATCTGCTTGTAACAAATTGCTTCTTCAGTTGTGCTGTTGAATGCAGCCAGGCAGGTCTTCACTGGCTTGCCTTCTCTGTATGTCTTAGAGTAACATAAAATGCAGAGGTAGCCGCTTTTAAGGGATTTTTGTGTTTACAGCGTGATTTTAAAGGCATTTTGGATCTCTTTAATTGTAACATTTAGTTTTGTAAAATAGGGTTGTTTTTTTTGTTTTTTTTTTTTAAAGGTAGGCGCTGCAACATTTGTTGTAATGATAATGAGGAAGCAGGTGATCGTAATCTTAGCCCCTGTGAACATTCTTGAAATATCAATGGCAGGGAGTTGATAGACTAATGAAAAATAATCCATACAATAGAAAAACTATTTCAAACATTTGTGATCCAAATAGTGAATGCTTTTTTAGGTTTCTAGGAGAGCTTCAGCTCCCTTCTGCAGCTCTTCCCTTCTGCCATTCATTTGAACTTCACTTTTCCTTTAATGGGTTAGCACTCTCTTGTGGTTCATTGTGTGCTCAGTGTGTTAACTACTCCTACAGTTATCCCTGATCCTTATCTATTTTCCAGTCTTTTATTTCTTAACTGCTTTTGTTTTCACTGTTAATCCTATATATCACACATAAAAAAAGAAAATAATAAAATGAATTTCAATATACGGTTCACTTAATTTTGACAATTATCAATGTTTTTCTACTCTTCTATGAGTTTCCTTCAATTATATAGGCTGAAATATTTATAGCCTAAACATGGTGACATTTTACATGCAATGCATTTTACAGGTCCTTTTGAATGTCTACTGTGCCACAGTTGGTCTTTTTCAATTCTTATTCAGTTTATTGCTCTATTTTTATATTTTCTATAAATTGGCATTTAAACATCAGCTAGATTAAATGCAGGCAAGCCTTTGTTCTGGTTATGTTTCAACAAAAAGTACTTCTCAGTACTTTACAATGAACATAATTTCAGTTTGCTCACCTGTGAGTCTGATTTATCAATGGTTTTATGTCCTAATATCCTGATCCCATCCACAATAAAGTCTTAAAATATTTAATCTATAGCTTTCA